TGTCAGATATATGCTTTGCAAATATTTTATCCCAATTTTTCTCCCTTTGTCATCTGAACTGCTAAGTGTTTAGTTTGTATTAAATCCAATTTATCAATTTGTTTATTTGATAGTTTATACTATTTGTGTCCTATTTAAGAAATTCTTGCCTAACCCAGCATCACCAAGAATTTTTTTGTTTTTTCTTTATCACCTGCAACTGTCTTTTTGTATAACTTGATGTTTTGTTTTCTTCTAGAGATAGTATAGTTTTAGGTTTCACATTTTGACCTATGGTGCATTTCAAGTTAAGTGTTGTATATGATACAAGGTAGGGAAGTAGGTTTTATGTTTTCATATGGATATACAATTATTTCAGCACTTCTGTGGAAAATCATCTTTTGGCAGGGCTCAGTGGGTCACGCCCGTAATCCCAGCAATTTGGGAAGCCGAGGCAGGCAGATCACGAGGACAGGCATTCAAGACCAGCCTGGCCAACATGATGAAACCCTGTCTCTACTAAAAATACAAAAATTAGCTAGGCATGGCCACACATGCCAGTAACCCCAGCTACTCAGGAGACTGAGGCAGGAGAATTGCTTGAAGCTGGGAGGCAGAGGTTTCAGTGAGCCGAGATCGTATTCCAGCCTGGGTGACTGAGCAAGACTCCGCCTCAAAAAAAAAAAAAAAAAAAAAAGGAAAAGAAAAATCATCTTTCACCATTGGTGAATTGCCTTAGTACCTATACTGCAAATCAATATAAATGTTATTCTATTTCTGTACTACATTCTGTTTCACTAACCTACATGTCTGTCTTTACACCAAAAACCCCACTGTCTTAATCACTGGAGCTTTACAGTAAGTCTTTTTTTTTTTGAGACAGGGTCTCATTTTGTCACCCAGACTGGAGTGCAATGGTGGGATCTCGGCTCACTGCAACCTCTGCCTCCTGGGTTCAAGTGATTCTCCTGTCTCAGCCTCCTGAGTAGCTGGGATTACAGGTACACACCATCACGCCCAACTAATTTTTTTTTTTTTTTTTTTTTTGAGACGGAGTTTCGCTCTTGTTACCCAGGCTGGAGTGCAATGGCGCGATCTCGGCTCACCGCAACCTCCGCCTCCTGGGCTCAGGCAATTCTCCTGCCTCAGCCTCCTGAGTAGCTGGGATTACAGGCATGCGCCACCATGCCTAGCTAGTTTTTTGTATTTTTAGTAGAGACGGGGTTTCACCATGTTGACCAGGATGGTCTCGATCTCTCGACCTCGTGATCCACCCACCTCGGCCTCCCAAAGTGCTGGGATTACAGGCTTGAGCCACCGCGCCTGGCCTAATTTTTGTATTTTTAGTAGAGACAGGGTTTCACCATGTTGGCCAGGCTGGTGTCAAACTCTCGACCTCAGGTGATCCACCCATGTCGGCCTCCCAAAGTGCTGGGATTACAGGTATGAGCCCCCACACCCAGCTTATAATAAGTCTTAAAATCAGGTAGTATAAGTTCTCCAACTTTGTTTATACATTGCAAGGTTGTTTTGGATATTATAGGTCTTTTGAATTTTCACATTTTAGAATCAGCATTAATTTTTAAAAAATGCCTACTGAGATTTTGATTGGAATGGCAATAGCTCTATAATTTGGGGGAACTGACATCATAGGAGTATTGCGTGTTCTGATCCATGGATACGGTATATCTCTCCATTTATTGGATCTTTACTTTCAGCAATGTTTTATACTTTTCAGTACACAGCTCTTGCACATCTTTGATTACATTTTATCATTAAGCATTTGATTTTTTGAAGCTATATAAGTAGTGAAATTTTCAATTTCTGATCGCTCGCTGTTAGTACTTAGAAGTACAACTGCTTTTTGTTGAGGCATGGTAACTCATGCCTGTAATCCCAATACTTTGGGAGGCCAAGGCAGAAGGATTACCTGAGCCCAGGAGTTCAAGAGCAATCTGGGCAAGACAGCAAGACCTTGTTTCTACAAAAAAATTTTTTTTTTTATAATTAGCCAGGCATGATGGCACATACTCCACCCAGCCTGAGGAGGTAGGCAATGCTTTTTGTGATATTTGAGAAAAAAGATGTTCCTGAGAGTAGGAAAAACATACACAAAAGGTGATGGGCCTGCCTGGGGCATGGGAGGGATGGTACATCTCAGGCCCCACAAATGGGACATTATGCCTGAAGGGCAGAGTGTGGGAGGGAAGGCAAGGCCTGAGCTCAGGTGTCCGGAGATCTCTCTGGCCCTTGTATAGTTAAGGGATGAGGAGGAAAGCATACGAAAGGGGACTGTTGCATTTTTTCAGACATGAGATGATGATGGTCTGGACTAGGACAGTGGCGGTGCAAATGGCAAGGAAAGAATGAACTGTAAGGCCGGGCGCGGTGGCTCAAGCCTGTAATCCCAGCACTTTGGGAGGCCGAGGCGGGTGGATCAAGAGGTCGAGAGATCGAGACCAACCTGGTCAACATGGTGAAACCCCGTCTCCACTAAAAATAAAAAAAATTAGCTGGGCATGGTGGCGCGTGCCTATAATCCCAGCTACTCAGGAGGCTGAGGCAGGAGAATTGCCTGAATCCAGGAGGCGGAGGTTGCGGTGAGGCGAGATCGCGCCATTGCACTCCAGCCTGGGTAACAAGAGCGAAACTCCGTCTCAAAAAAAAAAAAAAGAATGAACTGCAGAGACACTCAGAAGGTAGAACCAACAGGACGTCCTTTCTTGCCTAACGCACTTACAAGAGCCTCCTAACTGGCTTCCCTGCTTCCACGCTCACCTTCCACCCCACCACAGATTATTCCAACACAGGCGTCAGAGTGACATTATTATACCTAAGTCAGAGCATGTCACATCTCTGCTCAGCACCCTCCAATGACTTCTCACATCACTCAGAGGAAACGCCAAGGTCCCTGTGATGGTCAATGGGATCCTGCCCTGGCCATCTCTCCTACTACTCACCCTTCACTCGTTCCACTCTTGCCACACTCATCTCCTTCAACAAAGCAGAACTGCTCCACCTTCATTGCGCTGTAACTCTTTACTCAGACGTACACTTGGCTCATGCCCTCACCTCCTTTATGTCTTTGCTCAAGTATCACTTTCTCAAGGAAGCTTATCCAATTATCCCTGCTGAAACTACAACCATCTTCAAGAACCCCACCACATCCGGATCCCCTTTATTCTGCTCTACTTTTTTCCTATAGCACGGATCATCTTCCAGCATGTTAGATTTTTTCACTTATGTCTATGGTTTGCTGTCACATTTACTAGGATAAGCTCCACAAAGGCAGAGATTTTATTTTGTTCACTGATGTCCTAAGTCCCTAGAACAGGAGACACCTGATACATATTTGTAGACTAACTGAATAAATTATGTAATTATCAGTTTGGATGTGGGGGCAGATAATGAGCATCATACGTTTCTGGAGCTGGGGTGCAGAGTGTCTAGGGACACTGAACTGTTTTAAAAGCAGGATAGACCCTAGCTGGAGACCAGACATGGAAATCATCAGCATCTGGAAAAGGGGGTTGAATCCATAGGACCAGAGAAAACCACCCAGGGAAAGTAGAGGACATCAGGTAAAGAGAAGGGGATACATGCATAGCCAGAGAGAAAAGAGGAGCAGAGGCACGTGGATCACAAAAGCTTAGGGAGGAGACTTTCAAGAAATGGAGAGAGCTGAGTCAAGCAAGGGCTGAAAGCCAACCATTGGATGCAGTCACTAGAAAGTTACAGATAGGCCGGGTGTTGTGGCTCACGCCCGTAATCCCAACACTTTATGGGGCTGAGGTGGGAGGATTGCTTGAGCCCGGGAGGTCGAGGCTGCAATGATCCCTGATCGTGCCACTGCACTCCAGCCTGGGCGACAGAGCAAGACCCCGTCGCAAACAAACGAAAAAAAGAAAAGAAAAGAAAAGAAAAAAGAAAAAAAGAAAAGTTAGTTATACGTGGCTTTACAGGACGCAAACTCTGACTGGTTATAAACTGAAACTGTCAGGTCAACAGGTGGGGGGGAAAATGGCTGAGACCAACAGCACAGAGACTGAGAGGCAGGCAGACCTGGCGCCAATCCCAGGACAGGTTTTGTTAAGCCTCTGAATCTCAACTGCCCCAGTTTAAAGGTGGTGGGGTAGCACCCCCTAGCTCATAAACCTTGGTGATTGAAGATTAAATGAGATGACGGAGAAAAACGCAAGGAACAAAGTGGATGCATTAGCTCCATGTTGTTAATCAGCGGGCTTAGTTGGCTGCGACCCAGACACGAACGAAAATACAGCGCAGCCCGGGACCACTGGGGGTCTTGCTTATGGCTCAGAGCTGAACAATACCCGGATAGCAAAACCACACACCGAGATGGGGGCAGACCTGCTTCGCTGCAGTCAATTCCTTTGCACAAACAGAACACTTCCATCCCAAGATTAGCAGAAATTAATCTCCCTGTCCCGGGTACACCTGGCTGCCCCTCCCTGTCCCGGTGCGGCAAATAACCCCGGAGGCCAGCCAGGGATCACCCGCCCACGGACTGCGCTTTCCCCACTCCCAGCCAACTAGGGTGGGACCCGGGCCTAGGCAACACAGGGGTCCGCCCCTAACAACCACTCACCTGCTTTCCCCTTTCTACAGGCCGGCAAAGGTACTTTCTTTTTCTTATTGGTCCGCGTAACTTTATCGCAACCAATCAGTGGCAGCCACGGGACCCAACTCACTCCCACACAATTTGGGGGGGGGAATCATGGAGAAGATAAATTTTTGTGTTCCGCATCCAGTTCTCTCAGAGAGCACCTTATTTGTCAAACTCTCCCTAAATTGAGGCTCTTAAACATTTCATTCCCCTTAGGCCTGTAGTCTGTCCCTGGCCTACTCCCCCCTTCAGGTGGTACAGCCCGCACACGGCTCCACCTCCCAGCCGCTCGCGGGACCGAGTCCGCCACTTGGCGGAGGCCACTCAGAGTAGGGGCCGTACCATCTGTGGCTAATAAATAATAGGGGGGCCCAAATCCCCTCTGTTGCCCTATTACCTTCTGACCAACTCTCGAATATCTTGCCCATCCATTTCCCGTAGACATGAGCCCCAGATACGGTGGTAACTCCACTGCCAGGGTCCCACATAGGGCGCAGTACGAGCCAGAGCAGGACCCACTTGGTACGACCCACGCCGCGCCCCGCGCAGCCGGAAGTGAGGTGTCTGACCCTCGAAGTTCCGGTTCGCAGGGGGTGGGGAGTGTTGTTAACCGGAGCGGCCGCCGCAATCGCGCGGATTGAGCGGGCTCGCGGCCCTGGGTTCCTGGTGAGTGGGGCGAAGTCGGGCCCGAGTTGTGGTCGGGGTCGGGACCCGAACCTTCCCCTTGAGGTCTCTGGGGTCGGCGCGCCCCCCAGCCCTGCCGCCGGCTTTCGGCCTGTCAGCTGGCGGGAGACCTCAGACGCCGGTGCGGCCGCTCTGCTCAAGCCTGGACCCTGCCTGCGACGCTCGCAACTCCTGGTGCTCACAGATGCGAGGCCGCGAGGGCGACCCGGCTCCTCCCGTCCCGCCGCTGCTCTCTGCCGGCCAGCCGTTCCTGTGGTGCCCTGAGTTGACATCACTCCGGGGGTCGGGGGACCCCAGGGTTCCAGGCTGACGTTCCCCGCCCACTTGCACGGGGCGTGCGTCCGAACTGCCCAACCTAACACAGCTGTCACCGGCGCTGTCACTACCGGGTCTGCATCCCCCTGCGCCTTGGCTGCTCTCAGCCCTGGCCGCGCGTTCCCGCCCCTGGAGCAGATCTCTGCTATTGACTTCCATCCCAGCTCCTCCACTGGAGGGTCAGCGGTGCAGCTCCCCCTCCTCCAACGCTGCAGCTTTTCCTCATCGCCTCCCTAGAGGAGGCGGCTTGGCAGGCAGCGTGGAAAGAGCCCTAGATTTGAAACAAGACTGACCCAGGTTCCAGGCCTTGCGTCAGTGTGATCACTTAACCCCTTCGAGTCTTATTTGTAAAATGGGGGAGCGTAAGCTAATCTTGGTCTGGTGATTTCGAGAGAGAAATGTGATTACCCCCCTTTCTCCTGTTCAGGCTGTACCAGGCACTGCGCTGTTTTGCACAGCATGAGCATCACATAAGTTTTCTTGCCCCATGCAGGTCTCCGGGCCAGGGCAATGTTCCGCACGGCAGTGATGATGGCGGCCAGCCTGGCGCTGACCGGGGCCGTGGTGGCTCACGCCTACTACCTCAAACACCAGTTCTACCCCACTGTGGTGTACCTGACCAAGTCCAGCCCCAGCATGGCTGTGAGTTCAGGGCTCAGGGAGGGAGGAGTCTTCCTGGGCCAGGGGCGGGGCTAGATATCACAGAAGTAGGGAAGTAGCCACCGGCTGCCTAAGTTTGAGTAAACTGTGATGAGGATATGGAGGATCCTGAATGCTGAGTCCTAGGCAGAAGAAAATGGAAAGTGACCTCAAACCACAACTTCTCCCCACTCCTAGGTCCTGTACATCCAGGCCTTTGTCCTTGTCTTCCTCCTGGGCAAGGTGATGGGCAAGGTGTTCTTTGGGCAGCTGAGGGCAGCAGAAATGGAGGTAAGATGGCGGCGGCCCCAAAGATGAGGGCAGGGTGCTGGGAGAGGATGTTTGGGATCCATGTAATTCCCTGCCTGGCCCCCAGCACCTTCTGGAACGTTCCTGGTACGCTGTCACAGAGACCTGTTTGGCCTTCACCGTTTTTCGGGATGACTTCAGCCCCCGCTTTGTTGCACTCTTCACTCTCCTTCTCTTCCTCAAATGTTTCCACTGGCTGGCTGAGGACCGTGTGGACTTTGTGAGTCGAGTCAGGGAGTTCTCTGGAGCAGGTGGAAGCCAGGGAGTGGCCGGTGGGCAGGCTTAAGGAGCAGGGAGGGCTGGGTTGGGGATCTGGGGTGAGCCCCAGGCTTCCTGACAGGCTCCCTCTGTGCTCTGCCTCAGATGGAACGCAGCCCCAACATCTCCTGGCTCTTTCACTGCCGCATTGTCTGTGAGTGAGATTCAGGGGCAGGGAGGGAAGGATTGGAACGTGAACCATGGACTTGTGCTCCAGAGCACAGGCTGCCCCCTTAGCCCACAGCTGTACAGGAAAGATAATTTAGGAAGTTAATTTGCATAGTCTCTGTCCTGTTCCACTCCAGGGCTTCTCAACTGCCTGGGCCCTCAGCTCTTGCCTCCTCACCTGCAGTCTGGGCAGCCCCAACGAGTCCCCCTCCCCCAGGGAGTTCCCAGAGGGCCAGGTTCAGTGGTGTGTGCCCACCTGACTAGGTTCCTGGGGCCATGGAGGGCTTGAGGGTGGGGCTGTCCTAGAGCATTAAATAGCTATTGGGCCCTGGGCTGATCCCACCTACCCCCCATTCATGGGGGTCCCCACAGCTCTTATGTTCCTCCTGGGTATCCTGGACTTCCTCTTCGTCAGCCATGCCTATCACAGCATCCTCACCCGTGGGGCTTCTGTGCAGCTGGTGTTTGGCTTTGAGGTAAGACTGGGTTGGGAGGTTGAGAGAACAAGCTCGAGGTGACCCCACATGTGCCTTGAATAACCCAATAGACCCTTCCTCAGCATCTGCTATGTGGCCAACCTGTGCCAGCCACCAAGAGGCAGTGATCAGATATGGCTCCTGCTCTCTACACACTCAACTTCTAGGTGATTGGGGAAGAGCACAAAGGCTAGGGCCGAGGAGGAGCCCCAAACTGGGGTTCAGGGGAGGGTTCCTGGAGGCTCGTGCCAGAGCTAGCTGGTAATGGACAGGAGAGGATTAGCTTGATGGACAATTGGGAGGCATGTCCCTGGCAGAGGGAGAGTGTGTTCAGGGACAACAGCTCATATTTGTTGAGTGTGAATTTCACACCAGGCTCTGTGCTGAGCTCCTGACCTGCATCTCTTACTCAGCAAAGACAATATTGTTATAAAGGAATAGTTAATTCTGTCATTTTATAGACGAGTAAACTGAGGTTCATCGAGTTGCCAAAAGTCACAGCTAGCGAGTGGAGGAGCTAGGATGACCCTGGGTGTGTCCAGAGCCTGTGATTGTACCACTGCACCTGCTGCACAGAGGCCCTGGGGAGCTGTGTGTTTACATCCCCCTCGCCCCCCCCTCTCCCTCCAGTATGCCATCCTGATGACGATGGTGCTCACCATCTTCATCAAGTATGTGCTGCACTCCGTGGACCTCCAGAGTGAGAACCCCTGGGACAACAAGGCTGTGTACATGCTCTACACGGAGCTGTTTACAGGTGAGAGGAGCCTGGGCCTCTCCTGACCTGGATCAGCACCCTGCACTCTGCCTCCAGGCCCTGCAACCTGCTGCTCTCTGCATCCCCTCCCCACAGGCTTCATCAAGGTTCTGCTGTACATGGCCTTCATGACCATCATGATCAAGGTGCACACCTTCCCACTCTTTGCCATCCGGCCCATGTACCTGGCCATGAGGTAAGCCTAGCCCTGTCCCCTGATCCTCCTGATGCAATCCCTTCCCTTTCCCTGCTTTCACTGACTGTCCTTTCAGACAGTTCAAGAAAGCTGTGACAGATGCCATTATGTCTCGCCGGGCCATCCGCAACATGAACACACTGTAAGTAGGCTTGTCATGGCTGCTGTCCGAAGCTCTGTCCTGGGTCCCTCTGCTTCCAGCGCCGGACCTGACACATTCCCTGCCATCCTAACCAGGTATCCAGATGCCACCCCAGAGGAACTCCAGGCAATGGACAATGTCTGCATCATCTGCCGAGAAGAGATGGTGACTGGTGCCAAGAGACTGCCCTGCAACCACATTTTCCACACCAGGTGGGAGGGGCCCTGGGGAGCCTGCACAGCAGGGCACAGGCCCCAGAAGGCAGGCCCCTAGGCACCTGCTGACCTCTGCCTGGCCTTGACCCCCAGCTGCCTGCGCTCCTGGTTCCAGCGGCAGCAGACTTGCCCCACCTGCCGTATGGATGTCCTTCGGGCATCGCTGCCAGCCCAGTCACCACCGCCCCCGGAGCCTGCGGATCAGGGGCCACCCCCTGCCCCCCATCCCCCACCACTCTTGCCTCAGCCCCCTAACTGTGAGTGTCCTCTTGTCTGGCCATCCAGCGCACCACTGGGTACTTGCCCTGGGATGGGTATGAAAGATGCTGGGAAATTGGAGAGTCCCTGTCCTCCAGCGTCTCAGTCTGGACTAGGGAGGGTTGAAAAGATGAGAAATAGATGCTTGTAGTCAGTGTGACCAGTGCTAAGCTCAGGACCTTAGGAACAGAGGACAGAGCTCCCAGTAGCCAGGCCCCCTGCCTGGGAGTTGGTTCTGTGTCCTTTGGTCCTTTGCTCACCTCTGTCTTTTCTTTTAGTCCCCCAGGGCCTCCTGCCTCCTTTTCCTCCAGGCATGTTCCCACTGTGGCCCCCCATGGGCCCCTTTCCACCTGTCCCGCCTCCCCCCAGCTCAGGAGAGGCTGTGGCCCCTCCATCCACCAGTGCAGGTGAGCCTTTGGGTACTGGGACAGCCAGGGGGTGGCAGGGATGGAACACTCACTGACAACTTGTTCCTGCTCTTCAGCAGCCCTTTCTCGGCCCAGTGGAGCAGCCACAACCACAGCTGCTGGCACCAGTACTGCCGCCGCTTCTGCCACACCATCCAGCTCGGGCTCTAGCTCTGCCCCAGAGGCTGGCCCTGCCCCTGGCTTCCCCTTCCCTCCTCCCTGGATGGGCATGCCTCTGCCTCCACCCTTTGGTAAGTTGGGCCACTCTCTGGGTTCTTCTTGGGGGTGAGGTTGGTATCTGGCCCCAGAAGCAGCCCAGACTGAGCCTCTCTCTCTCTCTCCCCCCGTCTCTCCAGCCTTCCCCCCAATGCCTGTGCCCCCTGCGGGCTTTGCTGGGCTGACCCCAGAGGAGCTGCGAGCTCTGGAGGGCCATGAGCGGCAGCACCTGGAGGCCCGGCTGCAGAGCCTGCGTAACATCCACACACTGCTGGACGCCGCCATGCTGCAGATCAACCAGTACCTCACTGTGCTGGCCTCCTTGGGGTGTGTCTGCACAGGGGAAGCAGAGTGGGTTTGGTGGGAGTGCAGCTGCTGCTAAGAGGTCCCCAGCAGTGGTTCTTGCAAGGCCTTTGACACCTGCTGGTTCAGGCTACCCATCTACAGGCCCTTCCAACATCTCCAGAAGTTCTTGGTAACTCCTGGTGTCTACCTTCCCACTCCAGAAAGCATGTCTGGAGCTAAGTGGGAGTGATGTTTATTTGAGA